TGAATGGCGGGTCCCTTGTGTAAATTAATCCTAGGGGACCTGAGTTGCTGGATTAATTTTTACTGATTAATTTTGCTGGATTAATTTTTCCTGGCGGTCTAAAATTTAGAAACTAGGATCTAGACCAGGATTATTTTTTAAAGAAGAGCTACTATGTAGAGGAAAAACAATGAATAACCACCTGCTATCCCTTATTTCGGAAATGTTCGATCTCCATTGAAATGAACAAAGCCCGACAAAGATGCGAAAACAAAAACCATTCAAAATGCGCAGTGGAATAGCAGTTTTGCAGTGGGCTAGTGAGGAACATGTTCTTGGATTGGTGCAATGATGTGCTGGGGAGTTGGGTGCTCAAATCATCCATGGGTGGCCTGGTTTCTTCAGCACCCCTCCAAGCTCTCATCCTAGCTTTCAAGACTTTGCACCTGGCTCCGCATGCTTGTTCATCGCTGCACCAAAGCAAGAACTAAGAACCTTCTCATCTCATCCCTTCAGCACCATTCAGCACCCCTCCAAGCTGTCATCCTCTGCGCATGCTTCTTCACCCAATGTCTGCAACCTGTGGAAATTAATTCAAGGGTTTCTGACCTCCAGACCACCCATGGACTATTTGAGCACCCACCTCCTCATGCCATGGGTTCAAAGACCCTTGAAAGCCAGAATGATGAATGGTGCTGAAATAACAGGTTTGCATTGGGCTAGAGAGGAAAATGTCCTTGCTTCGGCGCAATGATGTCCGATGCCATGGCATGGGGAGGTGTGTCCATGTGGGCCCTCAAAAATAATCCATAGTTGGTGTGGGGGTGAGGTCTGGTGGTCAGAGACCCTTAGATTAAGCTCTACAGGTTGCAGGCAGATGGGCCTTCAATGAAATCCATGGGCGGTCGGGGGGTCAGAGACCCTTGGATTAATTTCCCACAGGTGGCAGATCAATATGTAGAAATGTAGAAAGGTAGATAGGTAATGACAGGTAGATAGATAGATAGATGGATAGATAGACAGACAGACAGACAGATAGATAGATAGATAGAGAGATGATGGTAGATAGATGATGGTAGATAAACAGACATGATGGTGATGAGGACTCAAAAGATGCAACCAAATGAGCGTGCATGGCATGCGGAAATATATGAACAAATCCATACAAAAGAATACCCGCATACCCAGACGATCACTGTGTTGTTTTCGCATCAGCTTGGAGCAGCTTGGGCTTTGCAGACATGTGCAGACTTATGCAGACACGAGACCAGGTGAACATGTGATAGACTGTTTGGATTTTTATGTATATACCTAAAATCATCCAGAGGGCAAACCAGTTACTGGATTAATATATATGAGAGAGAGAGATATATATATGTGCAGGTCTAGTGTATTAATTAAAAAAAATATTCGGGTGGGTCTGGAGGAGGGGGTGTACCTAAGGTACCCCCCCATGTGACTGACCTCAGGGCCCTGCCTGTGCGATGGCAACGAATTGTATTACATCAATATGTGCACCGTGATATCGCGTTTACTTCTGTGTGTTGTTTCTTTGGGGTTGGTCTTAGGGTTATTTATGGTTTCGCCAGGGTTTCTTTTAGGGTTGGTTCAGGGTTTCTTGGGGGTTGGTTCAGGATTGTTTCAGGGTGTATTAGGGTCGATTTAGGGTGGTTGCAGGGCTGGTTTAGGGTTTCTGTAGGGTTTCTCATGGTTTGTTGTAGGGTTTATTTAGGGTTGGCTTAGTGCTGTTTTGGGTTTTATTTAGGCTTGGCCTGGGGAATTTTAAGGGTTGGTTTAGGAGTAATCTAGGGTTTTGTCAAGATTTTTTTTAAAGGCTGGTTTGGGTTATTTAGGGTTGGTTTAAGATTTCTTTAAGTTTGGTTCAAGGTATGGTTGGGCTTGGTTTAGGGTATGCTCAGGTTTGTTTTCGGTCTTTTCTCTGGTTGGTTTAGCGCTAATGTAGGGTTTTGTCAAGGTTTCCTTTAGGGTCTTTTTTGGGTTTACTTAGTGTTCTTGGTTTGTTTTTTTGGCTTGATTGAGGGTTTATTCAGGTTTTGTTTAAGGTTAAGTTAGGGTATCGGCAGGGGTTGTGAGGGTTGGTTGAGGGTTTCCGTAGGGTTTGTTTTAGGGTTTATTTAGTTTTGGTTTAGGATATACTCAGACTTGGTTTAGGTTTTATTTAGGGCTGGTTTAGGATTAATGTAGGGTTTCATCAAGGTTTCGTTTAGGGTCTAATTATCATTAGTTATCTGGGGTTTACTTTGGTAGTGTTGGTTTGGAATTCTTTAGGCTTGGTTTTGGGTTTTTTCAGGTTTGTTTTAAGGTAAAATTAAGGGTTTCTGTATGGTTTGCTTAAGGTTTATTTAGTTTTGGTTTGGGGTTTCTTCATGGCTGTGGTAAGGTTTCTTTAGTTTCTGTTTAGGGTTGAATTATGTTTTCGTCAGGATTTGTTTTAGGGTTTGTTTTCAAGTTTGTTTGGGATTTACTTAGGGTTGCTTTAGGGGTTTTTTCAGGGTGTATTAGGGTCGATTTACGGTTGGTTTCAGGGTTGGTTTACGGTTTTTTTAGGGTTTCCTCATGGATTGTTTAGGGTTTATTTAGGGTTGACTTAGTGCTGGTGTGGGTTTTATTTAGGCTTGGCCTAGGGAATTTTAAGGGTTGGTTTAGGAGTAATCTAGGGTTTTGTCAGGATTTTTTTTAAAGGTTGGTTTGGGCAAAATTTAGGCTTGGCCTAGGTTTCTTTTAAAGGGTTGGCTTAGGATTAATTAATCTAGGGTTTCGTCAGGATTTGTTTTAAGGTTGGTTTGGTGTTTATTTAGTGTTGGTTTAAGGTTTATTCAGGTTTTGTTTTATGTTAAATTAGGGTTTCGTCAGGGTTTGTGTGAGGGTTGGTTCAGGGTTTCTGTAGGGATTGTTTTAGGGCTTATTTAGTTTTTGTTTGGGGTTTATGGATGGTTGGTTTAAGGTTTCTCTGGATTTGGTTCAGGGTTATGTTGTCGTCAGGATTCGTTTTAGGGTTGATTTAAGATTTATTCAGGTTTCCTTGAGGGTTTGTTTAGGTTTTGGTCATGGTATGCTTAGGTTTGGTTTAGGGTATATTTAGACTTCGTTTAGGGTTTCTTTGGGGTTGATTTAGGGTTAATGTAGGGTTTCGTCAGGTTTTGTTTTAAAGATGGTTTAGGGTTTACGGTTGGTATAGGGTTGATGTAGGCCTTTGTCAGGGTTTGCTTTCGGGTCTATTTAGGGTTTGCTGAGTGTTGGTTTGGGGGTTCTTTAGGGTTGCTTTTGGGTTCCTTGAGGGACTGTTTGTTGTTGACTGTCCTTTTTCCCGTGATTTCCTTGATCCTCCTTCCGGCTTTCAGGGGAGCCTGACTCTTTGTTGTTGACTCTCTGTTTTCCCCGGGGTTCCTGGATTTTCCTGCCAGGGGTGACCGACTCTTTGTTGTTGACTTTCTGTTTTCTCCGGGTTCCTTGATCCTCCTCCCGGCTTCTGGGGGGTGACTGACTCTTTGTTGTTGACTTTCTGTTTTCCCCGGGGTTCCTGGATTTTCCTGCCAGGGGTGACCGACTCTTTGTTGTTGACTTTCTGTTTTCTCCGGGTTCCTTGATCCTCCTCCCGGCTTCCGGGGGGTGACTGACTCTTTGTTGCTGACTTTCTGTCTCCCGTTCATGGTCGCCCTGCATCCTGGGCTGGTGTTCGCCGTTTTTCTTTCCGCTATCCACAAATATTCCGTTCGTAATTAAACAAAATTTTCGCAATAAAGATAACACTCTTCCATATATTCCATTTCAGCTACGCTAGCATCGAAATGCTACGTCGCACACAGGGCGGGGTGGGGTGGCGATGCTGGCGTTGACACCCACCAATCCTTCGCTTCTTGCCACTATGTCATCAACAGAAAGTGATGAAAACAGAAAGTCAGAACATTTCAAGACAAAATTTCATCCTCAAAACCAAACCAACACCCCACCAGCAGCAAGATTCGGGCGTTCTAAGGCGTCAGATCAGAGTACACGAGATATTGAACATGTTGTAGATAAGCACCGGCCGTATGTTTTTCTTTTCCGTTTGGGGTGTTTTTTGTGATTTTTATGTCTGGTTGCTTTTGCCTTTGCTTTTGTTTTTTTCCTACTTTTTTGCTTTTCTGCTTCTTCGCCTTTCTGCTTCTTGGCTCTGTTTCTTCGCTTTTCCGCTTCTTTGCTTCTCCCCTTCTCTGCTTTACTGTGTTCTTTATTCTTTCCCTGTTTTTTGTTTGCCTCTCTGCTTTTTGATTTTTTGCTTTTCGTCGTTTTTTGGCAACTGCAGTGAAAAGGCCTGATGCAGCTCCTAAAACCAGTTAATGAATCAGACCTAAGCATGGTAAATAAACCGATCCCAAGGCAAAATACACTTTTGAACGAACCTTAACTAAACATAACGAAACCCTAAGCCAACTCTAAACGACCCCGAACCGACTCTAAATAGATCCTAAGACGAAACACATATTAAAACCCAATCTCAAATCAAACTTCCAACCAACCTTAAATACACCTCAAACCAAGCCTAAATAAATGCTAAACCAGCGCGAATTACACCTTAACCCATTGTTTTGCGATATTTCATGTGCATATTTTTGTTGTTATTTCTATTACTATTATTTTCTTATTTTCTTCTTCTTATTATTTATTATTCATTATTACTACTGTTATTATTACTATTATTATTATTAATTTTTATTGTTTTATTATTATTATTATTTATGTTCAATATTATTATTATCATCTTTTTTCAATATTATTTTATTATTATTATTTTGGTTTTTCTTTTTTTATTTAACTATATTATAATTATATACATTCATTCATTTTTGACATGCGTGTATTATCAATGAACATGTCTATGCATGTGCATGTGTGCGTGCGCGGGGCAAGCAGGTACGTATAAACATTTGTCCATACTCTCTTCTCATGAGCGATTAGTGGGATGTTGTGTGAAGTTCGGGCGGATGTGTGAGTTCATTTGCCATTCTGCAGCGGCGCAGGTGGTGATCTTCTCATCAATTTCTTCGATGATCATCATGGCAGTGTGTGCCCTCTTCCACCGTGCAGCCATGGGCGGCAACTCTGAGTATGCGGTCTTCAACCTTGGCAGGACCACTGGGCGGGCCACTACATGACGAGAGAGTTCACCTTTACTCGCCGGTCTCCCACAGTGCAATAATTGTGTATGACAGTATTATGACATAGAAAATAAACAGTGCTCGTTCGTGGCATGAATGCGATGTAGGGGCTGATAAATGCATTGATAGATAGATGGCCAAACAGGGTTCAGTCTTTCCCAGACGTTGTTTTTTCGCCATGGACATCATTTTTCTGCCATCCCAAACATTAAAAACATCATCATGTTGTGATGGTGGTGGTGTCGATCAAGATGTTTTCTTCTGCCACGAGCCATTTTGACGCTTGCGAAGTTGATTTCACGAAGTCTGCTGCGAAAAGTTGCGGTGATACATATGTTTCCCGTCCGTCTGCAGTTTCATCTTTTTCGTGATGCCAGTTATGATTACGATACGACGTTCCAATACGTTCCATTCAAAGCCAGCACCTTTGGTTGGTTGTGAGTGGTGATGCTTGCAGACCAGTGGTTGGTTTGCACAGTAAGCAGTTGGCATGGCATACTGGTAGGTCATATGTGTGGCGTGCGAGGACCCCAAATCCTGACGTCCTGGCGCAGAAGATGAAGGCACCTTCTGCAGTCTTGTAGAATTCGCTTATGGTTGAACTTCTCGAGGCGCTTATCGTGCTACTCGTAGAGTCAACCATCGTTCTAGATTAATTATGCCGGGGGCACCTGGGATGATCACCTGCATGCCTGATTCATCATGACTGAAAGCGAAAGGGGAAACATCGAAACATCGAGGTGCCACTTTCCGGTTGACTCGTTGACGTCAGCCGTCAGCAGTGATACCGATCCCATGATCGCTGGGCAATGCAACTGTCAGGAAATGGCGGAACTGCTGGGCCAAATGGAGACGAAGGACGTGGCCCCAGCTGCCACGCCGGAAAACCCTCAATCGATACCCTCACTTGTGGCTCAATCGATACCCTCACTTGTGGCTCAGGGAGACTTAGGCACACAGTCATGATAGTCATCCAAAGTAGGCAGGATGTTGTTGGAACATGTGTTTGCGGAACCATTCGGATTGGCACACTCAGATGTAGCGACTTTTTGATCCATTGTGCAAACCACCTAGCTTTTGCACCTAGGAGGTTGAGAAGGCATTCGATGCGCTGGCAGTCTTTGACACCAGGTGGTTGGGGCAGAATCCTTAATGTCGTTTCCTCACCGAAGATTTCAGGAGCATGTCAGACAGGGACGCTGCTTAGACTTAGTGACCACATTTGACCGGTTCTGTCTACTGGATTCTAGACTGGGAGTCTACAACTTGAGCCTCGCACAGGCGCATCATGAACTTTATGACGATGATGTCCTCAGAAGTCCTTACTGGGCGCTCCGACTTGGCCTACGGAACCAGAGTTCCTCGGCAGTGTCTTCTGCCGTCTTGGATCTCTCGGTGTGCCACAATAGACCGCTTTACATATTTATATATATATATATATATACATACATATATAGCCTGCATCATGCCGTATTCATATTCATGCCATATCATGCCACATCTACCAGTAGAGCCCGGGCAAGCCGGGTGACGGAAGTTTCAACAGGGGCCAGGGGGGTAGACTATAGAGAAAAGGGAGAGCCTATAGGGACAAGCCTGACCGCCTGGTTGCCACGGCCGTTCACTGTGTCAGCTCTTGGAACTCTTTCTCTTTGACATTTCTTTCTCTCGGCATCCTTTTCTGATGATGCCATTTTCTCTTGATTCGGTTTTCACTTGTCATCTCTGATTCTTGACAGCCCTTCCTGTTGCCTGCTGTTTGTCTAGACGTTTCCCCTGACATCTCTTTCTTTCGACATCTTTTTCTACCGATGCCACTTTGTCTTGATCCTGTTTGCCCTTGTCATCTCTGAATCTTGTCTTGACAGCTCCTCTTGTTGACAGCTCTGAAGCCCAAGACCTGACACACTCCTGCCAGACTTTTTCAACACTCTTCTCTCCTGACAAACTTCTTTCCCTACTCTCTTCACTTCGCTACTCCCTTCACTCCCCTTCACTCCCCTTCACTCCCCTTCACTCCCCTTCACTCCCCTTTTCTCTTCCTGTCCCTGCTCTTGTCACTTTCCTCATTTCTTCACAATCCTACTCTCGTCACCCCGTCACTTTCCCTACTCTCCTCTCTTCCCTAGTCTCTTTACTTCCCTCCGTTCACTTCTCCACTTTCTTCAGTTCCCCACTCTCTTTACTTCCCTAGTCTTCTCATGTTCCTACTCTTTTCACTTCTCTCTTCTTTTCACTCTTCACTTCCCTATTTTATGCGTTTCTTGGCCTTGCTTACTCTTCACTTCCCCTCTCTCTTCATTCCCCTCTCTCTTCGCTTCCCCACTCTTTGCTTTGAGACTTCTTTGCTGCGAGACTTCTTCGCGGTCTGATTTCTTTGCTGTGAGACTTCTTCGGTGTCCGATTCCTTTGCTGTTGCTGTGGGACTTCCTTGCTGTGAGATTTCTTTGCTGTGAGACGGCTTTGCTGTGGGACTTATTTGCTGTGAGACTTCTTCTCTGTCCGATTTTCTTTGCTGTGGGACTTCTTCTTTGTCCGGTTTTCTTTGCTGTGAGACTTCTTTGCTGTGGGACTTCCTTGCTGTGATTCTTCTGTCCTGTGAGACTCTTTGCTGCATTTTTTTTTGCTGTGGGACTTCTTGGCTTTAAGACTTCTTTGCTTCCTTGCTGTGATTCTGTTTTGCTGTGAAACTTCTTTGCTGTGGGACTTCTTTGCTGCGATTTTTTTTGCTGCGATTGTGCTTGCTGTGAGGCTTCTTTGCTGTGAGACTTCTTTGCTGCGAGTTTTTTGCTGTGAGACTTCTGGGCTGTAAGACATTTTTGCTTCTTTGCTGTGAGACTTCTTTGCTGCGAGTTTTTTTGCTGTGATTATGCTTTGCTGTGAGGCTTCTTTGCTGTGAGACTTCTTTTCTGCGAGTTTTTTTGCTGTGAGACCTCTTGGCTGTAAGACTTCTTTGCTTCTTTGCTGTGAGACTTGTCTTTGCTGTGAGGCCTCTTTGCTGCGAGTTTTTTTTGCTGTGAGACTTCTTGGCTGTATGACTTCTTTGATTCGTTGCTGTGAGACTTCTTTGCTCTGAGGCTTCTTTGCTGTGAGACTTCTTTGCTGTGATTCTTCTTTGTTGTTATTCTTCTGTGCTGTAAGACGTCTTTGCTCTGCGACTTCTTTGCCGTGAGATTTCTGTGCTGGTTCCCTCGTCGTCTCTGCCCCTAAACCGCTCTTGGGGCTCCGGTTGCTCGAGAGATGATCTTAGAATAGGGGCGGGTGATGAGATGGGCTTAAGGTGCCACGCAGGTCGCACAAACCAAGCGTTTCACAGGTTATTGTAAACCTTCGTTGTGACAATGGCAAGTTTCATTTTTTGAGGGAAGTCTCGCACGAAAGCTTCGCTTTCACATCTTCAACTATCACTTTTTGAGGGAAGTCTCGCACAAAAGCTTCGTGTTCACATCTTCCACTTTCACTTTATGAGGGAAGTCCCCGTCTCGCACGTGCACATGTCAGAGGACGTTCCCTTTCTGCGCATGTGAAAGGACGTGAACACCCCTCCCCACCCTTCCCCACCCCACCCACCTCACCCACACCCCAGATGCGCATGTTGATCAATATGAGTGCAAGTCATTGTGACTGAACGTCATTAGCTGGTGCACGTGTCAGTGAAGGTTCCCATTCTGGTGCGCATGTGACAGGACGTTAACATCCACCCCACCCCACCCCACGCCCCACCCCACCTTACCCCACCTTACCCCACACCACCCCAGATGCGCATGTTGTTTCTATGATTTTATGTGATATTTCTACGCGATATTCTTCCTATATTGTGTCATGATAGTTCCCCCTTTCCGAACCTAAAGGATCCCTCCCTTCAGAAGTATATGTTTCTATGTAATAATGTAATATTTTTCCTATATTGTGCCATGATCGTTGCCCTACAACCTAAAGGGTCGTGGCCCTGAGAAATATGTTTCTATGTGAGAGCTTAGGGGCGCAGGTGAAAGGTTTTCAGGGGCGCAGATGATTGGAACTTACCTCGAAGTTTAGGATCGCTTTTTAGGGGCGCAGATGATGAGCCTCTTTGCTGTGATTCTTCCTCGCTGCGAATCTTCTTTGCTGTGATACTTCTTTGCTGTGGGACTTCATTGTGGTACTTATTTGCAGTGGGGCTTCTTTGCTGTGGGACTTCTTCGCTGTGGGGCTTCCTTGCTGTGGGATTTCTTTGCTGTGCGATTTCTTTGTTGTGAGGCTTATTTGCTGTGATTCTTCTTTGCTTTGAGACTTCTTTTACTGTGAGACTTCTTTGCTGCAATTTTCTTTGCTGTGAGTTTTCATTCACTTCAAATCTCCATAAAACGGAAGTGTAGACTTCTCAACTTCCTTTGGCCAATAAATATATATACACACACTATAGAGACATTTTTTTAACCGGTAGTACCGCACAAGGCGGTGGCAGAAGTTTCAAAAATATTGGTTGTTGTGATGAATCACGGATGGCAGAGCGAATCCACTGATGGACCGAAAGGTGGTTGGAGTTGTTTTTTTGGAGTGGTTGCAATGGTTGCAGTGGTCACCTCACCACAACTGCTAGATCTATCTATCTGTCTGTCTATCTATCTGTCTATCTGTCTGTCTGTCTATCTGTCTACCTGTCTATCTGTCTATCTATCTGCAAGCTTGAAAACGAAGCTATTCTGCGAGACTTCCTCAGTTGTTGACCTTGGCAGCATCAAAAAAGAAGCAGGTCTGCAAGACTTCCGCAGTTTTTCAACTTGACAACGTCAAAAACGAAGCAATTCTGCGAGACTTCCTCAATTTTCGGAGTTGTCAACATCAAAAACAATGCAATTCTACGAGATTCCCTTCAAACATGGAAAGTTGAGTGCAAAGCCAACGGCCTCGTACCAATGCGCTTTGCGATTTTTCCATTCCACCTGTCTGAAGTACATTGAAGTACTGCGCCTGCAACGAAAAAGTGACGCCAGGTCATACGAAGTGCTGCACCTGTCACCCAAATCATCTTCCCAAAACTGAAGATCTGACGCTCCAAAATGCAACCCCTCTCAGGAAATCAGCGCCCGGACCTCCTAACAGCTCTGATGAACATGTCTCTTGTACTGCGCTTGCCACGCAAAATGCATTTTTGCAGATCCCCTTCAAATTTCCCACGCCTGCCAACGTTTTTGGAACTGCTACAAAACCCTCACGTTTTGCTCACTCTTGGGAAGGTGCAGAATCCCTTGCGCCTGCCACACCAAGCGACACCAGAACGTCCAAAAGTGGTCCGAGCATGTAGTTTTTTTATTTTTTTTAATGTCTCTTACATTTTGACTTGGAAATGTGCTTCGCGGCACAACGCGGTGCCCTTTTTCGACATGTCAACTTCCAAAAGTGCTCCGAGAATAGTGTGTTGTACATTTTGACTTGGAAATGTGCTACGCGCCACAACGGCGTGCAAGTTTCAATATCTCAACTTCCAAAAGTGCCTCAAGCCTGAGTGTTTTGCACATTTTGGCTTCGAAATGTGCTTCGCGCCACCACAGCGGGCAATTGTTCATTTCTCATCTGGCCAGTTGGCTCCGCACCCGCCGCTTTAGCAAGCCTATTTTTCGACCCTCCGAGCCACAAATCATTGGAAAAACACAGTGTTTCGCGACTTTGCTACCTTTTCGCGTACCTGCATCTTCCGTCTTTGCCTCTTTCTCTTCTCTGATCTTCTTTCTTCTTCTCTTCTCTTCTCACCTCTGCTTTTTCATCTGTCCATATTGTCGGAAGTTTGACTTCTAAGTTTCCTTCGATGGCTTATGTCTATTTATGCGCAAGAATTGTAATTATCCTTAAAACAAGTGAAAAAAGAGACAGAAAACAATGGAAACAATCGATGAAAACCATGGAAAAATCGACACCATGAAACATCGGATCTATGAAAACCATGGAAACATTGATGAAAACATGCAAGCATCGATGAACATGATAGAAAATCGATGAAAACGATGGGAAAATCGATGGAAACCATGGAAAAATCGATTGATGCATTGGAAAAATCGATGAAACCATGGAAAAGCAGATGAACAATGCAAATGAGAAACTGCTCCAAAAGTTGCATATGTTAGCTCCAAAATGTAGCAAATGACACAGGAAAAGTACCCCACACTGAAACACGAAAAAAAACTACACCCAAAAAATCTGCACCTTATACGATTACTTGGCAAACGAAAAACCTAGAAATTCCGAGTGCAAGTTGAAATCACTAGTTTTTCGGTTTCATTTAAGTTCATGTCTAGTGCGAACGCTAAAAGTTGGGTCTGCACGCTAATTATGGCAAATTTGAAAGAAATAAAAGGCAACATTTTGCTGCTTGCATTCGCGAACGGGCACCGAACTCATTTTGAACGCATTCTGAACGGGTTTTGAACTCATCGGAGCTGGATGGAGCTGGTACGGGTTTGAACGGGTACGGCTACGCTAACTTGTTGCCTCTTTCGAGGATGGATTTGAAGGGGCTTGAACGCACCTGACACTGAATGCACCTCAAGTAGGTCAACGGTTTCGAAGTCATTTTCTTAGGGCACCCTTAAACATTTTAGTGAATTTCTAGGGCACAGAGCAAATAACTAGTTGCCCTAGGAATTCTTAGGTTTCAGGTTTGGCAGGTATATATTATATATGTAGATATGCACACATGACAAGCTTGTACCCATATTTGTTTCTATACCTGAGGAATTTCATGGTTATTTTTTCCGTCTTTGCACTACGCAAAAGGAGTTGATTTTTTGTACACATACACATGCACTGACACTACATGATACAAATTTGTCCACATATTAATATGATGCTTCTACATTTCACATTCTACCAGCAGTATCACCCCAAGACGCACCCTCAGAGACGCCGCCGCCGCTGGGTGGGCGGCGGTGGGTCGTGGATGGGTGGCTGGTGTAGTTGGTGGGTGCAGGTGGTGGGTGTCGGTTGGTGGGGTGGTGACTGTGGTGTAAAACATCCACTTGCCCTTTGAAGGTACAGTCTCCCACATGGCGTTGGCAACTCTTGTTCCCTCAGAAAGCATGTCTTTGCACCATCTTGTGCATCCATTTCATATCTGTAGAGGTAGAACCAGCAGCTACGGCTGGTAAATGTAAGAAGATCCGATCGTGCGGGGAAGACAGTCACTTTGACCAATGCCGCAATGTCTGCTAGTCAATCTGCTGACATTCAAATCCCCTTGTGGAGTCAAACCACCCTTGCTCTTTGGGCAGCTCCTTACTAATCCCATGACATGGTTCAACGTAGCTGTGATCTCAAGATTGGGCTTTGACAGCGGGCCGTTCGCAAAGTCACGAAAGCTTTATATAGCAAGGTATTGACAGGGGCTGGAGTCGCCAGGCACTTTTCTTTGAAGCAGCTTTGCCGGACATCGGTGCCTTCTCGTCGTCGCCAACATCCTCGGCGTCCTCATCATCCTCATCACCTTCACCATCACCGTCATCATCATCATCATCATCACCATTATATTCCACTTAATACCCCACTTCATATCTCCAAATTCTTCACCCCTCTTTCACCATGCCTTCCTCCTTTTCCCTATACCTTCCCAGCTTTCGTCTCTACTCCTTCCCCTCAAGTCGTGGCCCAAGAGTCTTCCCAGCTCATCAGCCAAGGTCAGCTCCGCTTCCTTCCAGGCCAAGGCCAAGGCCACCAAGGAAGAGGTGAAACCGGCCGAGGGAGGGGCCACAGCGACTGTGTGATGCTTGGTGGCAATAGTGGAAGATGATTGGGCGACAGAAAGTGGATTATGAATGTCATGACATGTTTATTTTGGTGGGAAAACCCCGTATGATTGCAAATTCAAAGCAAATTTAAGTCCCCAAAGATGGGGCATTCCACAATCAAAGGAAAGTTTCTTTGAGGAAACGCCGAGTTATGGACTTTCACATTCTTACACTCGCCCAAAGATCATTGTGTCCAGTGGGCAACTTTGTTAAGAGATGATTATAAGTCACATTTTCATTAGTCCAAAGATCATTGTGTCCAGTTGGCACCTGCGTTAAGAGAACATTGAGTCACAGTCTCACTAGCCCAAAGATTATTGTGCCATGTGTTGCGATGCTTTTGTGTTTTGCAACTCAGTCGTTGCAGGTCGCAGTGGAACTGCTCAATGATGTGTTTTGAATGTTAGGATTTGGACGAAACTGTGTGTGTGTTTTTCAAGTAAACGGGTTTCGTTGCGGAGAAAGTTGTCTCGCTTGCGCGACGGGGTTATATTAATAGGCATCGTCGCATTAGAGTCAAATCTTTCTAGAACGGCTTTGGAATTGGAAGAGAGGCTTCCAGGTGACTTTCTTTCTTTCTCTGCTGACGCTGTGCTACTTGGTGCATTGGAACCGCTGCATGAAAGCGACTTGTTCTTAAGTCATGTGTTGCGATGCTTTTGTGTTTTACAACTCAGTCGTCGCAGGTCGCAGTGGAACTGTGGAACTGTTTTACACCAGAGCTGAGTTTTTTGAGGTTAAGATTTGGACGAAACAGTGGTTTTTTTTCGATTTTTTGGGGTAAACGGAGGTTTCGTTGCGGAGAAAAGTTGGCTCGCTTGCGCGACGGGTTTTAGAGTTGAAGCTATTTTGGATGGCGCTGGCATTGGAAGTGAGGCTTCCAGGTGACTTTTTGTTTTTGGTTGTTGACGCTTTGCTATAATGTGTTTTGCCCAGTCTCTGCAGATCGTAGTCGGGTGGCTGCTTAAAGGCTTCTCGCTGCTGCGGCTGCGTGGTACTAATATTGTCTTTTGCACCCGAGAATCGTAAATCGCATTGTAGTGGCTGCATGACGGTGACGGGTGGATGGTGCTTTGGTAGCAACTCTTTTTTGCATTTTGGGGCTGATTTTCCTTTAAAGTTCCTTTTAAAAAGCATTTCAAAATTGTTTTTTTTTCCGCTTTGGTGTCGGGATCCAGCTTTGGAGCTGCAGTTTCTGCTGAGCCTGCTGCCGTTGCGCGTAGTTCTTTTGCGTTTTGCAGCTACTGTCTATAGATCGCAGTGGAATGGCTGCAAAAGCTTCTTGCTGCTGGCTGCGGCTGTGTGCGTAAGTAATACTATTTGCGGCTGAGAGTCGTAAATCGTAGTGGAGTGGCTGCATCAAGGGTGCGATGGTGATTTGGCTGATTCCATCTAAATTCCTATTAAATTTAAAAAGCGCTCCAAAATCATCATTTTTCCGCTGTGGCGCCGAGATCCGGTTTTGGACTGTGGAGCTGCAGTTTCTGGTGCGGCTGCGTGTAGTTCTATTGCGTTTTGCAACACAGTGTTTGCAGATCGCAGTGGAATGGCTGCGTCAAGGTTCCTCGCTGCTGCGGCTGCACGCGGAAAATTTTTATCTTTTGCATAGGCTTCTCGCTGATGCGGCTGCGTGTGGAATATATACAGCTGAGAGTCGTAAATCGTATTGGAGTGGCTGCATCAAAAGTGCGATGGTGATATGGCAGCGGCAGCAGTTGTTTTTTCCATTTTGGCGCTGCCATTATAAAATTCCTTTATTGTAAAAAGCGCTTCAAAAATCGTCATTTTTCCGCTTTGGCGCCGAGGTCCGGTTTTGGCTTTATAATTTCTGTTGCCATGTAGGTTAAAGTTTCATTGTGTAAAAGCTGGCTTTGTGTAAAAGCTTCTCTGCGTAAAAGCTTCTTTGTGTAAAAGCTTCTCTGTGTAAAAGCTTCTCCGTGTGAAAGCTTCTGCGTAAAAGCTTCTCTGCGTAAAAGCTCCTTTGTGCAAAAGGATGTCAGTGTAAAACCTTGCTCTCTGTAAAAGCTCCTCTGTCTGTGTTAAAAGTTTCTGTGTAGAAGCTTCTCTGTGTAAGAGCTTGCTCTGTGTAAAAGCTTGTTGTCTGTAGAAGTTTCTCGGTGTAAAAGCTGCTCTGTGTAAAAGCTTGCTCTGTGTAGAAGCTTGCTCTGTTTAAAAGCTCCTCTGTGTAAAAGTTTGCTGCGAAGAGGTGGACAGAGAGTACAGTCGTTGAGAACAGTTGACAAGAAGTGAGAAGTCGTGAGAAGAGTTGAGAAGAGGCGGCAAGATCTGAAAAGAGGTGCAGAGATCGTTGAACAAGAAGACGAACTCAGAGAACAGTTGAGAAGATGTGAGGCTTCGCTGCATCTCCTATAGGCAATTCCTTCGATCTGGAAACTTTTGCCACCCGCCTCGCGCGGGTTCTACTTGTATACTTTATATATATATATATAGACTAAAATCATCTAAAATCTGGTTTTATCATTGGTGAGTGAGTGAATGACTGGTGACTGATCGGCTCAATGACTGATTGATTCACTGAGTGGCTGAGTGGGTGAAGCGTGCGTGTATGTGTGTATCAGTGCATGAGTGAGTGTGACTGATGGACTGACGGACGGACGGTGACGGACTGACGGATTGACAGATGGACTCACGGACTGACGGACGGACAGGCGGAGGGGCGGACGGACGTGACGGACTGAGCGTGTGAGTGCGCGGCGCGCGTGTGCGTGAGCCTGTGAGCATGTGAGGCCTCGTGTGCGTGTGAGTGTGCGCGAGTGAGTGAGCGTGCCCCTGCGAGCAAGCGAGTGAGCGGGCGAACGTGTGAGTGAGTGAATCAGTGAGTTAACGTTGAGCTGACCTCAATTGAGTTGGTTTGGGGTCGAAATTTGAAGGCAAAAAGGGATGAAAAATAAATAGTTCTGCGTGCTTGTTTGTAGCTGGTTGTAGTGACTTGCGCGAACTCTTGTGAAAGTGATTTGCGTTTATTTGTTTGGGATCTAGGATGCAGGATGCACGTTCCCCTGTACTTGCCGGTTTCCAATATAGATCAGAGACCTGAGACAGGTGGCCCTCCTGCTTGGCCTAAACGACGTTTTATGTTGAAGCAAAATATGCCGAAATTATCCGAAATTAGTGAAAGGTTTGCTGTGCCCAAGAAACATTTTTTTTACATCATTGCAGGTTCAATCTTCAAAGGGGCCGCACAAACTTGGCCGCCAAGGACCACATGAGTACGCCAGCAGAGGCAGAAGAAATGCAACGCCTGGGTGAAGTTTTTGAGTGCCTTGGCTATGAACTGGCTGCCCGCAACAAACTTATTGGACGGATCCTTGATGACGGGATTTACAAGTGCAAGCCTGGCAAGACAACGCCCAAGCCCCCGGATATTGAACCAAGCCTGATTGACATTTCAGAAAAATTCACAGTGGCAGTTTCCTTCACGCAATCAATCAGGCAGTGCCCACCCAACAGTGCACAACGCTAAGCGATCTTGCTCGTAAAATTCCAATTAAAGGTCCCCCAATTACTGTCCAAGGGTCGGTCCCGATTTGGACGTGGAACTATCTTGCCCATTTGGGGAACCTGGGAATTCTAATTGAAAATTTCCATGCTTGCGCAGGGTCCTAGAAGCCAGTCATCGGAGCCAAGAAAAACAAATTCTATTGTTTCAAGACCATTGTAATTTTGATTGGCATAAGATTTGTACGGATTTCGCTAGAGATGTAGCGTCGATACAAAAGTCGAGGCCGAGGCGACTTTCTCCTCGCGAGGGTCAAATCTGTCTCAAAACTGGCTGGGAAGCATGGGGATACTAACAGAAGGTATGTTGGAATCACAAGACCCGAGCGTCCAGCATCATCTTTGAACCACCAGTGTCTTTGCAGCGCAAAAGACATGCTGTATGAAAGGCAATTGTTTTTTTCCAGTTTGCAGGGTCTTTGTCTCGCATTACAAAATTCAGCCATATTGACCATTTGGAAGGACTTAATGGGAGTGACCCCGTAATTGCCAAACCAAGAAAACTCTTTGGTATAGTTTTCTTTTCCAGCTATTGGTTGACGCTGACGCTTCCCATCTTGCACCCGGGTGGGATTTCTAGACTCCTGCCCACATGCCCGCATTCAGGTTTAACCTGAGGCTGTTGGCCAGGCCATCGAGTCAGGCCTGGGAAGTCGGGGTGGCTGACCAAACGGGGGAACACGTCGCTCTGAAGGAACAAGTTTGTCCAGTCTGGTGATCCATTTGGTTTGAAGCTGCGTGTTTCAGCTTCCTGTCCGGACAAATTCCCAGCAACCGACAAGGCGTGTATCGCGAAGCACATGCCAACAATGATCGCGTTTTTTGAAGAGTACGGCAGATGTACATTATCAGGTGGTCAGATCGTATTGGCGTCAGCAGATGTCGGCAGGGAATTTTAATGTCATATAGGCTGTGAGATGCCCGGCCAAAGGCATATAGAATCTCTAAGCATGATCCCCCTTGGTACCGCCAGATTACTTTCCTGGGGGTCCAGTCCCAAATTATCGAAGGAAGTTTAGAAGCCAAATTTCCGACAATATGGACAGATGGAAAAGCAGAGGTGGGAAGAGTCAGAGAAGAGAAGAGAAGAGAAGAGAAGAGAAGAAGAGAGAAGATCAGAGAAGAGAAAGAGTCAGAAAAAATATGCTGCAGGTGCGCGAAAAAGTAGAAAAGTCGCGATTCACTGTGTTTTCCAATGATTTGTGGCGAACTGTGAAGTGGAGAGTGTGAAGTGGGAGAGTGGAGTGTGGAGTGTGGAGTTTGAAGTGTGCAGTGTGAAGTGGAGAGTGTGAAGTGGGAGTGTGGAGTGCGGAGTGTGGAGTTTGAAGTGTGCAGTGTGAAGTGGAGAGTGTGAAGTGTGGTGTGGAGAGTGGGTATTGCGGACTGTAGAGTGTGAAGTGCCGAGTGGAGAGCGTGGAGGTGTGAAAAGTGGAGTGTGGAGTTTGAAGTGTGGAGTG